GTCCTGAGCCAGAGTGCAGAGCAAGGGACCCGGGCCTGGAGCAGGAGGAGTCTGCGTGCACCCAGCGGCCGCCCTCTGTGCTGCTGTGTGTGAAGCCGACCATCAGGAGACCTGGGGCACAGCTGGTTCCTGGAGGAGCCTGCGAGGTCTCCCTGTGCCACCCAGAGCCTCAGGCTGGCAGCCCCCTGCTGAGGACAGAGCTGTCCATGTTGATAGGTACCGTGCAGGCTGCCGAGTGCTGCAGCGGCTCCGTGTGTGCCGCGCCCGCTCCTGGGCAGTGCTCATTGACTGACTTTCCACCCGAGCCCATGCTCTCTGACTGCTCAGCAGGAACCTCAGCATATCTACCCTTCCCACGTGGGGGCAGAAGTGGCTGCCTGTCACCTACTCCATTTGTAGTGTCCGTGGCCTCCATATATGACCACTGTGACATTCACGACTAAGGAAACTAAGCAGAGACATGGTCTGTCACCCCCAGGTCATTCACATTCACACTGGGCGTGTGTTCTCTGTCCTCTGTGGTCTTCGTGGTGGCGATCCCTGCAGGTCCCCTCTGCCCACAGGACGACGGGATCCACAGTGTGCTCAGTGCTGTGTCTCTCCTGCAGAGGAACCTCCAGTGCTGCCAGGATGAATCCGCAGTGTCACGTACACGAGCGCACAGGAGAATTCCTTTGTGTCAAACCACTGTTCTTGCGGGTCTTAGCTGTCACTCTGGGCGCATCACCATGTGTCTCATGTTCCAGTGGAGGCTGCACCATGTGCCTTTACGTGTTTCGCTCCATCTCCCCTCTTGGGCTGGGCGCTCCTGCACCTGCCTCAGTTCTGCTCAGTCCCTCATGTCAGACTCTGGCCTGTAGTAAGCAACTGAGAATCACCGGTTGACTGCCTCCCAGGGAAAGGGATTCTCAATTTTACCCTTAAGAATTTCAGGGAGTGTGAGGGGTGCAGGGACCCTGGGAGTGGGACACGGAAGCAGAGGACCGTGTTCTGATGATCTCCGTGCTACACAGTCTCAGCACCCAGGGAGGGCTGCACCTGCTAGGACGATCCGCATCTGCAGCCCTGGCCACACAGCAGGGCTGGGGAGCTGGCAGTTGTGGGCAGGGCGCAGTGGCCACAGCACTCTGCAGCTCAGTAGGCCTCTTCCTGTCAGGCAAACGCTGTGTCTCATGGTTCACTGTGCACTCACTGACCTTTAACTTGAGAACTGAAAACTTATGTCCACCCCGAGGTCATGAGCTGCTCCTCATAGCAACTTTATTTCACCATTTTTAATAAAAAATAAAAAAACCCTCATAAAACAAAAAACCAAAAACTACATCCAATGGGGCTGGAGAGATGGCTCAGTGGTCTAAAGCACCTACTTGGAACAAGCTTGGCAAAGCATAGGGACCGCGGTTCAATCCTCCAGCACCACATGCCAGCCAGCCGCGCCCCCTGGTGGGCTGAGCTGGCCACACACACACACACACACACACACACACACACTAAATGTTAAAATAAGAAAAAAAAAACTACATCCAAGCCAAGGTGCCCTACAGGAGGTGTGTATGTAAAGTCCTGCAGCTGGTCAGTGGAGTATGATTCCATGCAAAAGGGAGCGTTCTGTGAAGCGATGGAATGACCTGGGGGGCAGTTAAATGCGCACACTCACTGAACGAGGCCAGTGTGAACGGGCTCCACACATTGTCACCTCAACTGCAGACATGCTGAGCAGGAAGATACCGGGCAATGGCTAGTAGGGAGGTCCCTCTTTCTTGAGGTTCAGGGGGTTTACGAGATGGGGTGAGGAAGGAAGCGGAAGGGCGGGGATAAAAGAGGAATGGAGATTGGGTAGGTATTCGCACAAACTCCACATCAGGACTCAAGACAGTGTATATTTGAAACATGTGCTAGTAAAAGAAAAAAAGAAAAAGAAAACGATGTTACTCACGTAGCGTTCAGTCCAGCCTGTGAAGGACATGCATCAGGCCCCTGGTTCAGGCTGAGGATGGTGTGAGCTTCACGGGGAGCAACAGGGACGCTGTTGCAGGGAGCCTCTTCCCCACAGCCCCAGGTGAAGCCCGGGAAGTGCATCTTCTTGGCTTGTGCAGGAGGCCCTGACCCTGCTGTGCCCACCCCAGAGCTGGGCATGGAGCCCAGAGAGCCCGGCTGCTCCTCAGGCCCCATCCCTGTCATGTGGGGCTCCAGGGCCAGATGAGTGGGCGCACGTGTTCCTAGGAGGGTGCACTTCCCTTTTGCAGGAAAGCCACTGTGTACTGTGTAGCAGGTGAGCACTGAGGACTCATGTGTGAAGCACTATCCAGAAAATAAAAATGTAGAGAAGTTGGACAACATCATCTGTCAGAAATTTTGCGCTTCAAAACTCACCAGGAAAAGTGAGAACCCTATCAGAATGGTAGTACTGTTTTCAGTGTCCGGAGATTACAAGGAGCTCACAAGCATACGAAAAGAAGGAATTCCTCTGATTTAGTGGAAAATAGAATCCAGTTTTCTGCAAAAAAATGAGGAAATGAGAAAGCCTTGAAGAAACACTTCTGCAAACAAGGAGCATAACCAGATGACTAAGATCCTAGGAAAGTGATGTCAACTGTGTGGATCCCTGCAGAAGGCATGTGCAGGCATTTTCTCCAAACACTGTGCCAGTTGGCGCAAAGCTGGATTTTATTTCCCTGGGGTCCTGGGGTGTACTGTGAAGATCCGGAGGGAGGAGCGCATGCTTGTCAACTGATAGACGCACAGTAACTCAGCGCACCAGGATACATCCGAGCATAGATACTAAATGAGGCCCGCTCCCTAGCGTGGAGAAGCGCACTGTGATCATCCCGTGTGGAGCACCACGGGGCTCTGAGGAGCACGTGCATTGCTGTGCGTGGAGCCTTCTGTCCTAGGAGCTGTCCACGTGCAAAGGGGGCCAGCACACAGAGGAACAGGACATGCAGCATGAGGGAACCCGAACACACAACCTTCAGTCACACTCTCAGGCCCCAGCAGCCACTGGAGAAGGTCACATAGTGAAGTATAAAGAGGTTCACATGGGCCAGGAAGGTTCTGCTTGTTCCCCAGGGTGGCAGCGTGTGGGGGTGCCCAGTTTGTGAGACCCCAGCCAGCTGTGCATGCTAGGTGTCCTCTTGGTCTCCTATACCAATACAAGGGAGGCACATATACATTTTGGCACATATTTGGAAACCTGCAGGTGGTGGGCATGGTGGGTAGGTCACACCTATCCTGTCAGCACTTGTGGAGGCTGAGGCAGGAGGACCGCAAGTGTGAGATGAGCCTGGACAGCTTAGTGCTTTAGCAAGGCCCTGTCTCAAACAAAAGAAAACTAAACTAATGCTAACCAGGGCCATACCTCAGCCCATAGTGCTGGACCACCAATCCAACCCACACTCCACTTGGGCACAGGTTCCCTACGGGGCCGTCCTGGGGGGCATAGCACCTCAGGAGTCCTCCTTTTGGTGGGCTGAGTATGGTGGCCTAGCTCCATCCTATGTCATGGTATGGAAATGGGTGGTGCATGTCTGCTGTCACATAAGGACAGTTACCACGAGAGACGGAGGAAGGAGGAGAGGGCTCTCTTCCTTCCTCCTGTTATTAAGCAAGAAACTGGACTCTTGCAAGTCCCCGTGTCTTCTGCTCTCAGTGCCAGGTGCACGCTCGGTCATGAGCAGACAACCCTGCAGGTTGGATTGCAGAGCCCGCTCAGCCCCACATTTTCCCTCAGCCTCCCTCAGGCTCGGGCCTGAGCACCTCCTCAGAACCAGGTGAGCACAGGCCGCCTTCCTCCGTCTGCCTGGCCTGGGAGAAGTGGCTGCCCCTGTGCTTGGAGGCAGCAGGCCCCAGAGTCCTCGGCGACCTTGTGTTCTCAGCCTCAGGGTCACATTTGCAAGTGAAGACCCTTGTCCTTATTTTCTTTGCTTTTGGTGCCTGGTGCTTCCCCTCTGCCCCCCCCCCGTCCCCTGTGCATCCCAAAGTTGATGTCCTGACTTCTTGTCCCTTTAGGGCTCTGCACCACCCTGCCCCTGTGACTGCGCTGTGGTAACCAAGTAGGAGACTTCTGAGTTGTACAGCCACTCTGGGACTTCTCCCTGGTCCCTAGTGACATCCAGAGCTGGCACGAGGCTCTGACTTACCAGTGGACGGGCTGTATGTGAGGACTGCTCCGTTCGAGCTCCCGCCTGCACACCTTCCGGGCGCACGCTGCAGGGCGTACTGCGCTTCTGTAGAGCTTGAGCTGCTGACTCTTGCTGCTCTTCACAGCTGCTGCTGCCAGCCCGGATCCGCCTTCCCTGCTCTGGTCTGATGAGTTTGACTATTTAGAGTCCTTGCACCGGACCTGTGCAAGAGTTGTGTTTCTGTGTCAGGCTCATGGCGGTGCAGTACTGCGTGCAGGTCACCTGCGTCTGCACCTGGCAAGAGTCCCTGCTCTTCTTGTGGCCGCACAGCCTCCCACTCTGCACCCAGCACGCCTGTGGCCATCCATCCGGCTGTGGAAATCTCCATGGATTCCTCGGCTCTGCGCTTGCAGTCACGTTTCCATCACTGACCCCGGGGATGAAGCTCTCTTCTGCACACACTCCTGCCCTCCCCCTAGAGACTCGCCCAGCAGGTGAACGCTGCGTCCCCTGGGAGTTGGCTTTGTAACATTTTCAAGCATCTCCTGCTACCCACAGCAATGGCACCGTTTACAGTCGCAGCTGCAGTCGGACAGGGTTCTAGCTTCTCAACCGGCTGTGAGAGATGGATCAGGGATGGCTTCTGAGAAGACTGTCTGTGTAGGAAGACTCTCAGCTGAGGGACTTTGAGAATCTCATCTCTTGGAGGAGAGTTCGGTGTGCTTACTGTGTTGCTGGGCTTTCTCAGGGACCACAGTCCTCGCACCGGCAGGAGCGACCCGAGGTTCCCGTTTTCAGCATGAGGAAGTGCTGGCTTCTGTGTCACAACACCCCGCCCAGGGCCACTGTTTTGAGAACTGGAGCCCGTCGTGTGCAGCCACCTTCTGTCCTGTCTTGAAGAATCACTCGAAGTCCCCTTCTGAAGGGAGGCTGCCTTCTGCCCCGAGGAGTGAAGGACTGGATAGCAGAGGCCACGCTCCTCCTTTCTCTGGGTGAGGCTGCGAGGGAGAGTGTCTGGGTCTGATTCACGGCTTCTTGGCCCTGTCTGTCTAGGCTCTCAGCCCCAGACCATGGCCCCCTGGCTCTCCCCGCTTCTGGCCCTTGGTGAGTCGGGGACTGTGGGACGGTTGGAGAGACTGAGGCAGGAGACTTGGGGAAGGGGTCCTGATCCCTGCTCAGCCTGACGCCAGCCAGGGGGTTGTGGGTTCAGCACGAGGTCTCTGGGTAGCCCTCCATTCCTGCTGGACTTAGGGGGCAGCAGAGGACTTGTTCCTAGACACAGGGCCCTGGGTGCGCAGCAGGCTGGGTGCTGGAAAGGCTGGGGAGGGCAGAGCCCATCCTCTGGGCTCTGAGAGTCTTCTGGAGCAAGCAGGGTCAGGGCCCGTGTCCCTGTGAGGTGGGGTGTTTTGGTAACCGTGGGAGCCCCTGCTGCTCCAGCCTTCAGCACCCTGCCGCTGGGTGTTTCTAACTGCGCTTCTCTTCCAGGGCTCTGCCTGGGCCAGGAGATCCTCGCAGTGGAGGGTGAGTCCTGTTAAATCTGCTGGGCAGGAGGGAGCGGGCTCCCGGCCTGGGGTGTTCTACTCAGAACCCCAGTTGTGACACAGGAAATGTGTAGCCTATAGTCAGCTTCCTTTCCTTTTTTTTTTTTTCCTTTTTTTTAAATTTGGGGGAGATAATGCCTTGTTTCATAGTTTAGGCTGAGCTTGAACTCACAGTGTAGCCAAGGAACTCTCGATGATGCTCCTGCCTCAGCCTCCGAGTGCTGGTAGCCTAAGAGTGTGCCACCATGTTCATATTTTTTTTTTTTTTTTTTTCAGAAGCAGGGATTGAACTCAGGCCCTTGCGCTTGCCAGGGAAGCGCTTATTCCACTGAGCCATCTCCCCGGCCCCCAACCATGTTCATATTGATCATGTTTTTTGTCTCTTGTTTTAAAAAGAAAAGTAGTAGTTGTTTATACTTACTCTCTACTGAATAATGTGCTTATATAATGTTCATATGTGGAAGAATCAAGTTAGGCTCCTGTCCATCTCCACAGGCTTATTTTCGTGGTGAGGACATGTCACCTTTGCCCTTTGAGCCATCTGAACTGTGCGCTGTGTCGCTGTGAGCCGCAGCCAGCCTGCCCGCCTGCCCCAGCTCTCAGGAGCTCCCCCTCTGCACTAAATGCCCCTCTTGCCTGAGCATCAGCGTGGTCCCTCTCCCCATCTGGGCCTCCCCTGGCCTCTTGGAACCACAGATCCCACTTTAGCTCCTGGCTCTGCAGGAGATGAGGTTGGGTAGTGCTGCCCGAATGCTGGCTCAGCCCACCTGGCAGGATGCGTGTGTGTCCTCCAGTGTCACCGAGCACAGAGGTCCCCTCTCTCTGAAGGGTGAGGGGTGTTGCACTCCGCCTACTCCAGACTGTCCTGGCCCACTTGTTCTCAGACTCTCTGGCTGATCTGTCTCCCAGGTGAGGCGGCTGGTGCAGCAGTGACCATGGGGCGCAGGTGTCCTGGTGACACGCTGGTGTCTTCAGAGGACATTCAGCTCCAGTGTGACCCAGGCAGAGCCCTTGAGTCTGGAACTATTTAGGGTCTCAAGCTTCCCCCTGCTGCTTCTGAGGAGGAGCAGAGGCCCCAGCTGAGCAGGGCCCCAGTGCTCCATCTCTCTTTCCATGATATTTCAATTACAATGAAAGGATTTGTGTTTACAATGTTGTTTATGTAAAAAACTGCTCCTCCTCAGACGCTTGCCAAGGTTTAGCTTCAGACAGAAGCAGCACTGCTCAGCTCTCAGGTCTGGGCCCGGCTGTCCCCTGCGCACTTCCTTCTGCCCGTCAGGCTGGGGCGCCTCTCCCCCGATATCTTGACTTTCTATCACTCTCAGAGGCACAAGCTGTGCTCAGCTCGCAGGCTGTTTATTTTATTCAGGTTTTTGGTGTAGGAGTTGAACTCAGGTGTGTGTGCTTCCAAGGCCTGAGCTTGTGCCACTGAGCTATCTGTCTGTCCCAGGCTGAGTTTTAAAGTGACCAAAGAGCCTGCACCTGTTTACCATGTACAGTGTGACCGTTTGCAGCAAGTAGACATCACGCAAAGAACCAATCAGCACACACATTACCTGGCTCATCTTCTTCCATGCTGAGAGCACTGTAAATTGCCTCTGAGTGATGGGCAAGACCACAACACCCCATTAGGCCACAGTCTCCGGGTGCCTGGTGGGTCTCCCGGCCTCCTCCTCCTGTCTAGGGGGAGCTCAGTGTCCTCTGGCAACCCTGGCAGGTGGTCATTGCCCTTTGCTGTCCCTGGGTGCTCAGCACAGTGAACCCCACCTGCCCTGGGCTCAGCGGGGTGCCCTTCCCCAGCACCCAAGGTGGGCAGCCCCTCCCTCCTGGGCCAGGTTCCTGCCCTCGCCAGGACGCTCATCTCGGGTGCAGCTGGGCATGGGGACAGTTATCTGTCCATGTCTGGCTCTGCCCAGTGTCCTTTCCAAGGTCAGGGACTGTGTCCTGGCTTCCTACACTTGTGGAACTATGGCTCAGGGAAGGAGACCTGGGACAAAGAGGGCTTCCATGTGGTTGGAAGGGCAGTGGAAGGAGGAGCAGGGGCCCCCTCCCAGGCACGACCTGTCGCAGCTTGCCTGGGGCCCTGGTTCCTGGATACCTATACCCTTGTCCAAGGGTGCACAATTTCAGCTGGAGTGAGTCCAGACCATTCAAGCAGCATGGTTTATGAGACCTACGGTGTGCTTGAAAATCACAAGAGTGAAAAAAAAACTCCTAGTGTTCCACCCACACAGCAGCGGGAGGATGTGGGGAGTCCGTGTGTACGTGAGCCCGACTTACCATTCCTCAATGAAGGCTTATAGGAACGCAGCCTATAACGTGCTGTGCAGCCCACGCATGTGCGACTGGCATCTCCATATTTAGTCGACACCTCTTAAGTTTATGTATTTATATGTCAGGTGTAAGGATGAAATTCGAGCAGCCAGCGTGCCACCTGCTTTGTGTCAGTAGGAAAGAGTGACCGTGAATGTGGGCAGCCTGACCCTCTGCAGCTCCTGGCTCCTACAGAGCATCCTGTTAGGGGGCTACAAGCTCACCTTCCCTAGCTCCCCCTCAGGTAGGATAATGAGGAAATAGAAACGAGGCTGAGATGAGCATCGGAAGCCCGGAGGGATCCCCAGGGGGGCTGTTCCACAGGTCCTGGGCAGTGGCCACGGGCAGGAGGGGAGCGGTTCACATCAGACACCCCAAAGGACCAACTGTGCTCATTTTGAAGGTCCTGGGAGACCCAAGCCCACCCCAGGGTTTGCCCAGGTTGAGGATCCCTACTGTGAGGATGTAGGGGTGAGAACTGGGGTGCACATAGCCTGCACTGCGAGGGGTGCAAACCTGTGGAGTCGCATTGGCTCACAGCTGCGCAGCTCTTTAAGTCTGCCAGGATCTCCGTGCGGTGCCCCACATCAGCTCTGTGTGTGGTGATTTCCACTCAGGGGACACTGAGGTCTGCTCTGCTTCCTTTAGGGCTCCTGCCTGCACCCTCCATCTCTGTAGAACCAGGCCGTGTGACACTCAGAGGGAGCACTGTGACCATCGTCTGCCGAGCCCAGTGGGGCTTTGAGAGCTTCCGCCTGGAGAAGTGTTCTTCATGGAGTAGTTGTACCGGAATTCAGGAAGTGGCAAACGCTGCAACTTCCAACAGTGTGGCCAAGTTCTACCTCACCTTGATGAATACTGGGTGTTATGCCTGCATCTATCAAAAGTGGTCCACTTGGTCTTCACGCAGTGAGATCCTGGAGCTGGTGGTGACCAGTATGAATGTCACCCAGAACTCCACGCCTCCAATCTCAACTGTACCCTCAGGTTTGTTCCCAGCTATTTGCACCATGTCCCCAGCTGCTTTCCTCTGTCTCCCATCCCCTCCTCCTGACTATAAGCCCTCTCCCCCATTCTTGGTGCTCCTGTCCATTAGGCCTCCCTGCCCCTTGCTCCCTGAAGTCCTGGTCTCACTGGACACCTGCATGGGGTGTGCATGGAGCTTGCCCTGCTGGCTCGGTGGAGAGTGCGTCCCCAGAGCTGCTAGGGCAGATCCCCCAGGAGAGCGAGTGTTGCTTCCCTGGGCCTGGTTGTTCTGCATCTTTTTCAGGAGACAGAACCTTTCATGGCCCCAGCAATATGTCTCCAGCAATATGTCCCCTCTGGTGCGGTCCCTCCCATTCACTGGGCAGGGCTCATGGTCCAGGGAAGGTCCTGACCCTGGTCACAGAGTGCTTTGGGAGAATCTTGGGATGGGATGGCCCATGTCCTTCTGTGGTCAGCTCCAGAGAGGTCCTAGGTCAGGTCCCGGTGAGGAGGTCCCGTCCTCCTCTGTTGCTGCCAGGGCTTCAGAGCTGCTGTCCGCAGAGCACCTGTGAGCTCAGCGGAGCACGTGGTGGGCGGGGCCGAGGGGCGGACATCCCAGCAGGTGGAGCAGCACAGGGCATGGCTCCCTCTCCTGCTTCCCTGCTCTGCTCTCTGCAGAGACCTGGGCACTGTCTGGGGCTGCCCAGCGACCAGGTGTGTTCTCTAGAGGATGTTAGGGCAGGGGGCTCAAAGGGGGATAGACTCTAAGCAGGCGCTCCCACTCTGTGGCTCCCCGGAGACTTGAGTCTGCTGCACAGAGCTGCACTCCTGCAGATGTTACTGAGTCCCTGGGTGATGCTTTCCTGGGCAGGTCACTTCTGTGGGGACATTAGGTGGCAGTGCCAGGTTGTTGGTGTTGCATTTACTTATGCAAAGGGTAACTGTCCATGTGCTGTTGTGTGTGTGGCCTGCACATCAGTTGCAGGGAGATTCACGATGAGAGGCAGGGCCGAGCTGGTACAAGGCAGCGGGCGGGAATGCGGAGAGCCCTCCTGGTCCTCGTCTAGGAGAGGAGGTACATGTGTGCAATCCTGTGGAAAAGTTACTGGGATTCCAGTGAGCGAATTCCAACCTACCACTTCTGGTGCTACCACGGGGAGTAGGGAGACACGAAGGCTTCTTTGCAGTGGGGTGGAGCCCAGGGCTCCCAAGGGAGATACACATGGCCTTAGCGGTGGGCACCAAGGAAGGAGGAGCAGGAAAGGAGTGCATACTGGCCTTGGGTGACATCGCACGGGATGACCCAGCGAGGTGAAGAGAGAGGAGACGCGGGGGTCCAGATGCAGGAGGGAACAGGCCCCGAGCAGCTGCTGGGCAAGAGCACTGGATGGGGCAAGGCCTGGGGAGGGGCACGCTGGGCTCCAGGGAGGGACTGGGAAGGCTGGGTGAGAGAGGATTGGGTGCAGGGTGCATCCAGCGCTGACCCCGGTGCAGACCCTATAAGGATGCCCAGGTGCAAGCACTTAATCCTGGGTGAGAGGAGAGTTACAGGAAGTGGCTGAAGCACTCACTGCATGGAGCTGCTGCCCTGTGAGGAGTTGTGTTTGTCACCAGCGTGTGGGTCCCTGAAGAGCTGGATTTGTGCTCTGTGCAGAGATTCTAGTTCCATGAGAGCACTGGTGAGCCGAGCTGAGGAGGGCACCCAGCCCATCCCTACGGACCCATGCCTGTCCCAGGCCTTCCTCTCTTGGGAGAGTGCTGGGCCTTGTGTGAGGCCTGCTCTTGTTGCTGGTCAAGGCCATTTCTTCCTAGGAGTTGCTGTCTGTCAAGCAGGGCCTGGATATAGCTACAGTCCTGTTCTTCTTATATTCTTTGGACTGGAGGGAGGTGGTGTTAGTGGGAGTGAACCCAGGGTCTTCACACGGAGCATTTCCAGCGTTTTTATTTTTTATTTTGAGCCAAAGTCTGGCTAAGTTGCTAAGACACCCAGGCTGGTTGTGAGCTCTTGCTGCTTCTGCCCCAGGCTCTCTGAGGGCTGGGATTGGACACTTGCATCCCCGTGCCTGTCCCCACAGTACTGTGCTTCCTGATCCCACAGGAGTCAGGCACTTCCTAGAGGAAACCAGCGCTTGGCTGGCTGTCTCCCTGCCTGATCACGTTTGCAGTCATCTGTGGAGTTCTCCTCGGCAGATGCCTGTCTCCTTCTGAGCAAGTTCTGCTCTCAAGACACTGATTTCCACGAAAGACAGGCGTGAAGTTGGCGAGTTGCCCTCTCCCATCTGGATCTGCCCATCTGTGTCAGGCTCTGGGCTGGCAGCTGGCAGCGGCTGGCAGGAGCATGTGCGCATGTGCACGCAGTGTCTGGCAGGAGGATGAGCGCATGC